GGCCGAGGCTGAGCCCCACTCTAGCTGGACACCTGCTCACCACCCTTTCCCCTCTTCCCTGTTGGGGATTGGCCCAGCAGACTTCCGTACCCGTGCACAGCTCGTGCTGCCCGCTTAGAGTGGCGCGTGACACCTATCCGCTTAAAGGTCACGCATGATACTGTCCCGGATTGGTTGGGTGACTGAATATAAGGGAGCCCGCCGGGAGGGAGAGGAGCTTCCCGACAACTGCTGTAACCACCGTGAGAGATTAGACAATAAAGCCTAGAGAAGAATCAAGACCTTGGGCGTGTTGCTTCGGTCCTTGAAGGGTCGCGACACTCCAGCACGGCCCCACGGCCTCACTCTGACCCAACCCCACCTATTTGGTCCAGGGACTAAAATGGGATCAGAGTTTGCTCTCCAAAGAGTTACTTCAATGTGACAAGAGTTAGTGAACTCATTTGGAATGGTATCTCCAAAGATGTTACATGATATTCATAGGACATGCACGCACAGGGTGGACCTCAGAGGCAGTGAGGAATGTTCTTGGAAGACTTTGGCATGTGGGAAGCCTCTGGAGGGAGGGGGTGATGGTTTTGAAGCCCAGCTCCACTGTCCAGATGCTGTGTGCCCTTGGGCAAACTGCCTATTCTCTCTGAGCTTCCTTATTAGCCATCTATAAAATGGGGAAAACAATGCCTACCTGTCAGGGTTATTATGAGGATTATATGTATTTGATGATGCACATCAAGAGTTTAGCTTCATGCTGAGCAGAGAGTGTGTCCTCAATGAACAGTACAGACAGTTATTATTAGCAGCTGCTGTTGATGCTTGAAAGGTCCATCAAATTCTGGGTACTTTTCCTACAGGAGCTAGAAACCTAACATTCTCCTCCCTGAGTATGAACGTGAGATGCTTTTGTGTTTGGGACCAGCAGAGGCTCATCTCAGGACTGAAGAAAGTCAAGGAATTATGGAGACTGGGGAGAGGAGGCCACATTTGAATCAGCAGAAGAACAATGACATTTCTACCGGAGAGACAAAGACAAGAGGACATGGACCTCTCTAGAGATCCCAAAGACCCAGATGATGAAACACATCGTTCCCCAAAACCCTTGATCCCCACCTTGAAACTTGAAAAGGATAGTGAAGCGGTGATTAATTTAAGAAACTATGACTTTGTTAGGAAAGAGTATAAAACCTAAATGTGATTTATTCCCACTAGGATGTTTAAACATTTTAACAGTAAGGTATTAACAAAGGGCCACATGGTGGAAGCTGCTCAGGCTGAGAGTGGAGGTGGGGGAATTGATAAGGGCCTGGCAATACCTGTTTGAGTTAAACCTACCAATAAAATTAAGACAAATGTAAAGGAAAGATATAACTGGCTTAGGCGACGTCCGGGAAAGAATGTGAACCCTGTAGTACTCAGCCAATGAAGAACCAGGAGAGGGACTCTCGTACTAAGAGATAAATTATTGGCGCCAAACTCCCCAGGTGTGCCTGCCCACCAGATGCCCGATCTTGCAAGACCATCACTAAAGCCTCGCTCCGCTGTTCTCTTTGTCTCCGTGTCCACTTACTGAATTTGGACCAGTGAGTGTGTTTCTCACAATCTGGGGGCTCATCCGGGATCCTCTTGCCTGTGCGAGGTGGGGGCCCAAGCGGAGTGGGAAGACGCGTCCCGCCAGGCTTTGGGCGGCCCGCTGTGTCTGGGCATCTCACCTTCGCACAGAAGCCGAGGGGAGACCCGAGACTGTTGTGCGGAGACAGCGTGACTGACGCAGGGGAGAAAACGCAGGCACCGCGGCAACCAGGCGACCTCGTGCACGAGCCAAGGTGGGAAAATTGAGCTGTACTGCCTTGGTGGTTGGGCATTTTTCAGAGGTCGAGTGTGTGTGGCTGAGACGTGTAATCTCGGGGTGTGTGCAAGAAACTTCCATTATGGGGGGTTGAGTATACAGGGATCTCAGACACAGGGACCTCTTGAAGGATGGGAAATACAAATTCTAGGCCT